CACTCGCAAAGGATTTTTTAAAGAGAGGGAGGGAGAGACATAGACCCACAAAGCCAAAAAGAAACAGAGGATCCAAGTGGAGAGGTATGTGTTATTGGACAAGTGTTTAATTTATGGGACTTGGCCCGCAGAACAAGAGTTTGAATTGTACTTCAATAAGTGGAGCTCTTAGAATAAATGTGGCTTGTAAAGTTGTTTTACAGTCTGCTTTGCAGAGCAGCCAACACCTCATGGAAACCTTTGAAAAACATTCTGTTTAGAAGCGATGGTGTTTATATTTCATATTTTCTCTATTTGTTTTCCCCTCTGGTTTTATAACTGAAACCATATGCAAGAAACCAGCATTTTTGTGTCTTAAAATATCTACCTGATCTAACTACTTTTATTATTAGGGAAAAAAAAGGGAAAAAAAAAATACTGTGTTTCGAAAATTCTTTATACACTAGACACTGGATTCAAATCTTAACATATCCTTGTTTGATATCTCAAATTTCCCAAGTGACATTGGTATAGTCGCTTTGCTGAGATTCATCATCCCTCTCCCTCCACATATGCAGTGCAGCTGTTTGCACCTGAGCTGTCTGTCTTTCCCAAATGCTACAGAGTTTACAATATGATTCACCTGTACAGGACAGGAGAGTGTGAATCATGCTCTAGATCCATGTATTGACTAGCTAAAGGGAGACCAATTGAGCTGCTGAGGTAGAGACTTATGCTGGAAATCTCCATGGTTAGCAACACAAGCCCCACCTTAATCTCGCTGTATCACTGAAGGGATGAGATAGGTGTCTCTGAAAGGGAATTCACCTCTCCATACTGACTGTAGAAAAAGCAAAAAAAGTAAGGTTTTACATGGTTAAAGAGAGTCAGGAGGAGTTCCACTCTACTGGCATCATTTTGGAGCTCTGGAAGGCAGACCATCTTCCATAGTTACACATGCACACGTGTGTATTCACACAAACCATGCACAAATGGTGCAACGGGCACTACTTACTCAGTATGCTAGGACAATCCATTGACTAAACTTTGTCCTTTTGTTTGGCAGATTAGGAGACATCACAGCAAAAGAGGGAAAAGAGGAAGCAGTAAAGGATTGCCTTGGAGAGAAGGAAAGTATTGCATTTTATTCCATACAGAACCAGGAAAGAAAGATACAGAACGTCTACAAGACCACATCCTCAGATAAAAGCATCTAACCACAGATGTAAGAGTCATTTTACCCCATAAAACTATCCCAATTGCTAATTTTTTCATGGTGGTTGTGTTTGTACAGATATGACAGAACTGCTATGGAACATGGTTTTATTTAATGCCTGTGACAGGAAAAAAAATTACCCTACTATTTTGGGTTGATCTGTTTGTTTATTATTATTATTATTATTATTATTATTATTATTACCATTGTTGCTGATTTGTTTTATTTAGGTGTCTTGGATAAGAACATAGGATTTCTGTGCCTGTCTTACCTACCTGGTCTGACTGTCTGGTAATTTCATCCTGATGGGCAGCTAAACTCCACTGCACTGCTCTCACTCTCTCTCCTCTAAGCTGAAAAAGGGCAGCTTTTGTGCTCTGTTTACAGAGGCCAGCTTTGCAACACAGCTGCTACCAAAACCTTGCCATGTAAACCCAACACAGTGTTTTGTACCTGCTCTCTGCAAGTGTGTTACACTCAACCTCATGGCTGTTCTGAAATGCTCCGCTTTCTCCGTTTATTTCCAGTGTCACGGACTGATCCCTGGTACAGCTTTGCTTAGCAAAGTCATTACAAGTCAGCCAAGCATTCTGTCACCATCCCAAAGTTTTGCCCTCTAGCTGTACAGTCTATTTCCTTTCCATTTCTTTATGGCTTCTGCTGTGAGCAACACGCCTTTACAAACTGCTTCTTTTCAAAAACCCTTGTGAGGCCACGTCCCTTGAAGTCAACACTTCTTTAGTCACCTCTATGCACTCAGCCCTCCCAGCTCCCCTCCTGATTTCCTTTCATTTTGCACATCTTGGAGGCAGGTGATACCGTGGGATTCAAGCCAGAAAGGATTGACATTTCTAGCCTGGGTGACTGCCTACCCAAGCTAGAAAGCATGACAACGAAAGATTTGCATCCTGATGGTGGACACACAAACTCAGTACTTGTTTAGAGCCAGGATTTTCATTCAAATGGGAGAGTTTACAGCACCTGCTCACCATACCAGTGAAGAAGGAAAGACCAGTTGCTCAGGTTTGGTCTCAGCTGCCTTAGCGTAATGCTCATCTCCCTGCAATAATCAGAAATGAGCACACAATGTGCAGCTGAATCCTCAGGTACATCTTGATCAGAAGGAGGTTTCAAATAATATGGGTTACTCACCCCTCCTGGATCATGCACCCTTCCACTGTTCACAGCCACCTTGTACTATTATCTGTTTGCGGGTCTACAGAATATCTGCTGGCTTTGTGAGGGTGCAATACCGTGAATACTTTCTCCAGTAGAAAAGCCCATGTTTACTCTAGGAAGCTTAAAAATGCAAAGCTCTATGCTATCATTGTCCTGCACCCCAAAAGCATGGTAGAACAGCAGTCTGCTTGGGAATGAATAGACACAGGTAGGTCCAGAGATGAATCACAACTGCTAGGCACAACCTTACGGCCTGACAGATGCTCCTGAGAAGAGGGATGTCTTTTAAGGACAGTGATGAATCAGTGTTTGCTGACAAAAGGCCTTTTTCTCAAGGAATTCCCCATCAGCAGTAGGTGTGCCATAAGTGATTCAGGCTCTCGTTAGCCCTAATTAGCTAACTGTTCAAACGATTTCTCTATTATTCCTGGAGCCTGTAGCACGAAGCACATGTCTGCTGCTTGACAGGTGCTCAATGCAAAGTATGTTTTTCCAGGGTAAGTCTGCTGCAGGGATCACTGTGCCCATCACAGCCCTCTAGGACCTTCTCCATCCCTTTGGGCTGCACTGCTGCAAAGCCCTACAACTCACTGCTATGCCAGTGCGGATGATTTTAGTATCCTCCTATCTTTTTAGCACTGTTCCTTTTCCAAAAAATTTGGGAATTTCAGCCATCTCCTCCCAGGCTGCCTTCCCCTGTGAAGTGGATGAGCATGCTACCTTGCAAATAGAGGTTTAATTCCCCTCTGATATATAGAGAAATGAGAATCACATGACCAGAACTGTTTCCTAGCTCCTGAGCTTTGATGCAGATTGCAGGCATGTTGCAGATGGCCTGGTGATTTAAAGTACTGTCCTGGGACTGCAGATCCCTCTTCCATAAACATGATGGTTGACCTTGCAAAAATCTCCATGGCTGGAATTTCTCTCACCTAAAAATAGTCCTCAAAATTCAGCAGCCAATCTCCCTCTGGCAATCTCCTGCCAGAGAGAGGCACCCCCTTATTCACATCTAATATAGGCATATGAGAAAAGTGACATGAATTACTCTCCTGAGGTACTAGCTTTCCTCTGCACTGATGGCAAAAGGCTCTCACATGACTGCTTTGCACTTAACCCCTAATAGTTAAATTATGTGAGAGAGGGAAAGAATTTTTTAAAACATCCAGGTCCCACATCTCAATTTAACTCATTTAAATTCAAGTGGGAATTAAGCAGTGCAGTCTTGTAAATCTGGACTTTATATTCTCTGCAGTGATGTTTCCCCTTTGTAAAAGCCAACTGTTTTTCGGATGGTGATGTTCAAAATGAACATGAGATACTCAGGTGCTGAGAAGGCAGACACGACTTCTCAGTACTTATTCTCCCTGATGGTTACAGCTGCGCTTTGTTGTTGGTAATGGATGTTGTTCATAGCTAAGGAGCCACTAACTTTGCTTTACTGATGCATCCTGTGACTTGGAGATCCTAAAAGTTGCTCCATGTGCTTCTTATAATCCTCCTTACCCATGGGATCAAGCAAACAGTGCTGTTTTTTTACATATAAATGTTGAATCTACAGCCCCAGGCTGAGGCTTGTGTTCAAAGGCCACTGCAAAGAGCTGTGCTGCCAGCAGAGAGAGCCAAAGCACAAGGAAGCATGAACTGCAGGATGTATTTCCAGAGCTGCATGTAAATTTGTACTCCATGAAAGAAAACATCTTCTGGTGGTCAAGGATCCTCTTCTGAGAGCATCCAGAACCGTGGATACTTTTACCATCAGCCTGTCAGGCACAACAGCTTTGCTCCCAACTAGGCGTCCCTTCTCATTCTGCTATTCTGGTGCAGGCTGTGCACTGACAGCCACCTGCCAAAACCCAGGCTTCCACCAGAAGGTGGGGCCCATATTCCACAAAACATGGGGCAAGCTCTTGGCAGTATCATCTGCTCTTGGTCAGCATCTAGAGACCCAGACACACTGCTCCAAAATGATCAGAGCAAACTGGTCAGAATCTTTGCAGATGTCATCTACAGTGTAACTCCCTGGGGTGCAAAGCAGTGTGTTTTCTCTGAAGGGTTTATGTCTTAATGATCTTCTTAATGATCTGCTGTAGTACTTTGGAGTTTTATAAACAAATAGTCCTGCCTGGATATTCATCTGCTTATTAAAGAGCCCACAGCCCTGAGCCAAGGGGCTCATCTTCGCTCAGAGCCACATCTGGACACCAATTTCTGAGCAAGGCTTTGATGCTACCTCAGTTTGCTTTTGGTGGTCTATGAAAAGCAGATGTGGAATGAGGAGCCCTGGCTAGGATCCTGCAAGGCACACAAACCATGTCCAGTTTGCCCACTGCAGCTCTGCGCCACAACTCCATATCAGTATTAGATCATTTTATGGTCATCATCCCCAAAAGAAGAAAACTAGAGCAAGTTCTAGATGGAAGATTACATTGCTCTCACGGCAGCTCGTACTGTCCTCAGCAGTGGCTCAGGCAGGTGTCTAATCCACGAAACCTCCCTTATTTAAAAAATGATGTCACTGTGGGTCTCTAAACTACAGCAGAAGGTTGCCAGAGCACAAAACAAGAGGTTTACTAACACGTGGATTTTGTGATTTACAGTTTCCTCTTCTCACTACTCAAAAAAGATGGATCTTGGAGAAATTGTTGTGGCTGAAAGTCCGGCTGAGAGGAACCTATGTGCAGAGAAGCAGCCAAGAAGCCAGGACGTGCTGGGGAGAAGTGGAAAACAAATCCCCCAAGTTTTCAAGTATCTCACAGGAGAAATGAAAGAATATGGAGAGTGGATGAAAAGTAAGCACAGGGGTATGCTGGGGCTCTCTGGAAGAGCACGCTGGGAACATATACATCACCAACTATACATCCTGGTCCACAAGACCACTTCACCTTCTAAGACATAGCAGAGAAGGCATGGTCTGAACTCAGTATGAACTTCTGGTGCTTTAGCCCAAATTGTGTTGTTCTTGAGAAAGAAACTTCACTGCCATTACCATGGCTGCACAAATAATTCAGCACAGGCAAAAGATGTCTTTTACACTTAATCAGTTATGTCATTAACATCATGTTCCTCATAGCAATGCCCAGAATCACACGTCAGAGCTGAGGATTTGGACTTGTCTGTAAGTGCCTTGGATCAGTAGCCATCTCCCTGTCCATGTATGGGCTGGCAATGGGGACTTGACTTCTGACTGTACAGGCAAAGGCTTTGTATTTACCAGCCTTTGGGGAGTAATAAGCACCATGAGTGTTACGTTCCTATAAAGTACAAAGCAAGTACTGATCTCAAAGGTTTACTGTACAGGCAGGAACAATACATCAGCAGATGTTCTGTGTTACCCAGAATTATTATGGGGTTTGAGCTTTGAGAGGCTATGCAAAATTGTGGCTCCTCTGTCAGGGCAAGGTTCGTTAGCAGCACGGCTCCAACCAAGGGAGAGATGTAAGAGGAGGTGAGCTGAGTTACCTCCATTCAGGGAGCTCAGGAGAATGGCAGTTTCATAGAATCATAAATCACTGATGTTGAAAAGACCACTGAGATCATCTAGCCCAACCATCAACCCATGCCTGTGAACACTCAAGACCATTTCATTCAGTGCAGCATTCACCCTTCTTCAAAACCCGGGGATAGAGACTCCACCAGCTCACTGGGAAACCTGTTCCCCGTGGACCCAGATTGGTTCCTTAGCAAAAAGGAATGTCTCCTCTTGCTTTTTGTTAACTCCTTGCTACCTCTAGCTTGATAGACAGCTTTTATTACTTGGTGTCCTGAAAATCTTCCTGCCCCTGCATGTTCATAATATTTGAATATAGTTAAAACTAGTGCCTATACCCAAAAGCACTGCTAACATGCTTCATAGCTCAATACCAAGCATTAGTAAAAATTATCTCTAATTAGTCCAATCATTTTTCTCTAAAGAAGACACTCCCTCCTGGTTGTAACCTCCTGGATCAACAGCAACATACTTCTAAAGGAATGCATGTGCAGTCACCCCTTAAGATACCCTGCAGCCTTTTGGGATGTCTCTCCCGGGGATGCTGGATAGATGCAGAGTTGTGTCGGTCCCTTGAGAGTTCCTCTTTTTGAGCTACCTCTATCACAAAGCAGAACTTAAGACCCAACTGTAAATAAACAGAGAAGGGAAGTGGAAAAGAAGGGGGTGGTAGGAAGCTGTTACGACTAAGACATTGCCCAGATTCAAGAAGCACCCTGGCACTTCACTCTGTGTCTAATTAACAGTATAAACTGAGTAACTGAATTAATTTCAAATATTTAAGAAAACGAAAGGTGCGGGCAGAGTTTCTTTTTCATGTTCTTACACTGTTTAATAACACACAGTATTACAGTGCCATTTCCACTTTGTCCTCAAGCCAATTTGCACAAGGGTTGGGAACACAGCTACTGCAGTGCTGCAAAACCCTCTTCTGTACATGGACTACTGCACAGAGGTGCCCTCAGACAACCTCATACCCCTCAAGTGGAATGGGTTAGAAGGTGGGAACTGGGGGAGCAATGTTCCTCCTGCTGTAAGAAAATCTCAAGCTCACAACCACTTGAGGAACCTGACTATAACTCTATGGGTCCTAACAAGATATATCCCAGAGTTCTGAGGGAACTGGCCAGTGCAGACACCAAGTCACTCTCAATGATATTTCAAAATTCATAACAGTCCAGTGAAGTCCCTGGTGACTGGAAAAAACCAAAGGTAATATTGTGCCCTTTTTTAAGAAAGGTAGAAAAGAGAACCCAGGGACCTACCGATGAGCAAATCCTCCTGGAAGATATGCTAAGGCACATGGAAAGGAAGGAAGTGATACAGGATAACCATAATGGCTTCACCAGGGACAATATCTGCCTGAGCAATGTGGTGGCCTTCTGTGGTGGCATAATTGCATCAATGGACAAGGGAAGAGCCACTGATGTCATCTGTCTGGTCTTCAGCAAGGCTTTTGACATGTTCCCCCATAATATTTTCTTCAAATTGGAAAGACGTGGATTTGATGGATGGACTACCTGCAGAGTATTTGTCAATGGTTCAATGCCAGATGATGGCTTGTATCCCCTAGGGGTCAGGATTGGGCCCAGTGCTCTTTAATATCTTTATGTCAATGACATTGACATTGGGACTGAATGTAAGTTTTCAGGTGACACTGAGCTGTGTCAGTGCAGAAGTTCTTGCACCAGGGCTGCGGCAACCTCCACTATCAGTACAAGCTGGAGGATTGGGGTTAGCCATGCTGAAAAGAACTTGTGGGTACTGGTGGATGGCAAAATGGATCTGAGAGTGATGAGGTCTTCCTTGAGCCTTCTGTTCTCCAGACTAAACATTTCCGGCTCTCTCAGCCACTCTTTGTAAGACTTGTGTTCCAGACATTTCTCCATCTTCACTGATTTTCCTTGAACATGCTCCATCATCTCAGTGTCTTACTAGTAGTGAGGAGCCCAGAAATGAACATACCAGTTGAGGTACAGCCCCTCTAATGCCAAGTGCAGATATACAATCACTTCCCTGATGCTGGTGACTATATTATTATAAGCCAGGATTCCACTGACCTTCTTGGCCACCTGGGAACAGTGCTGGCTCATATTAAGACATCTGTTGACTAGCATCTACAGATCATTTTTGGCCACACAGCTTTCCAGCCACTCTGCCCCAAGCCCATGGTGTCACATGGGCTTGCCCTAACTGGAGTTAAGGACCAGGCACTTTATCTGGCTTGTACAAATGGTCTCAGCTAATCAATGCAGCCTATTCAGTTCTCTCCAAAGAGCCTTCCTACCCTCAGACAGATCAGCACTTCCTCTCAGCTTGGTGTCATTTGCAAGCTTACTGAGAGTGCAATCAATCCACTCATCCAGACCATCAATAAAGATATTACACAGGACTGTCCACCACATACTGAGTCTGAACATTACACCATGATGCAAGCAAGCATGCAAATTCCTGCTACCTCATATATCTGAGCACTGAGCCACCTCTGCTATGGGGACCTGCATCACACCCTGTCTCAACAGAATTTTACCACCTGACTTTTCCATGTTCTGGGTCACCAGCTTTCTCCATAAAACAGCAGAAGTGTTTCTTTTATATTTCCCTATCCAAACAAAAACTAGTTTCAGTCTTTGCCTCTGTCCCTCTCTGCATCTGAATTATGCACAGAAACGGGTCTATCTTCTTGTTAAATTTATAGCAGAATCTTCTGCAAAGACTTTTTTTTTAACCATCATAAATAAACCATTTTTTATTAATCCCTCCACAGACTCTATAGCAGTGCCCAGTCCCTGTTATTTCAAGTGCCAGATGCAAAAATATGCTCAGACAGCAATAAATCAGAGCCTGTTTTTATAGTCCTGTTGATACATCACCTCTATTCTGTGGCGAGAAAACAACTGTCAAGCTGAGTGTGCTTTGAAGGAGTCCCAGTGAAATGGTGCCTTATCACCAACATTTTTATTTTATCTCCGTCAGATAAACCCCTCATGTTTCAGCTGGTGGACTGGATCTTGCGAGGCACCTCTCAAGTGATGTTTGTCAACAACCCTCTCAGCGGGCTCATCATTTTAGTGGGGCTTTTCATCCAGAAGCCATGGTGGCTGCTGACGGGCTGTGTTGGAACTGTCACATCAACGTTAACTGCTCTGGCTCTCAGTCAGGAGAGGTATGTGGGATCTTTGAGATGATCATTATGATATCGGGAGCATGCTGATAGGTTGTAGTCCTGTTTTCAACCCTATTAGAGCCAGCAGACCCACTTTCCCCACTTGACTTGGAGGAAGTCAGGTAAGGACAGAGCTGTGGTTCAGGAGGTGGAGAGTTGGCCACCATTGTGAGAATAATGTCACCTAACCCAAGTCCTGTTCTCTCCCTGATAGCCATTATGTTTTGCTATCACCACACCCATACAATTTGGATCACACAGAGCTTTCTGGATCATCATTCTTTACCAGAGGACTGAAACACCTCTCCTATGAGGAAAGGTTGAGGGAACTGGGATTGTTTAGCTTGGAGAAGAGAAAGCTCCATGGACGCCTCATTGGGGTCTTCCAGTACTTGAAGGGAGCGTATAAACAGGAGGGGGAATGGCTGTTTGTGAGGGTGGATGGTGGTAGAAAAAGGGAGAATGGATTTAAACTGAGACAAGGGAGGTTCAATTAATTATTAAGAGGAAGTTTTTCACACAGAGTGTGGTGAGGCACTGGAACAGGTTGTCCAAGGAGGCTGTGGATGCCCCATCCCTGGAGGCATTCAAGGCCAGGCTGGATGTGGCTCTGGGCAGCCTGGTCTGCTGGTTGGTGACCCTGCACGTAGCAGGGGAGTTTAAACTAGATGATCATTGTGGTCCTTTTCAACCCAGGCCATTCTATGATTCTATGATTCTAATAATAGTTTAAAAAATCATGCATTCCACAGACCTCTGCAATGAAAGTTGGCAACTACCTCACTGCTTTTTCCATCCTGCCTCTACACTCTGTTCACCAGGAGCAGGATATTTTCAAGTTGCATTTCAGCAAGTCTCTGTGGCAGATCACCTCCTGCACAGCTTGCTGCTTTGCAAACATTTCTTTGTGTCACAGATCAGCCATTGCATCAGGGCTGCACGGCTATAATGGGATCCTGGTGGGAGTGCTCATGGCTGTCTACTCGGATAAGGGAGATTACTACTGGTGGCTTCTTACCCCTGTGGCAGTTATATCCATGGCCTGGTAAGTATCACGTCTCTCTTAGAGACAATTCTCAAAGAATGAGGAATTCTGCTATATGAATATTGTACACATTACAAGTCTTGTCTGCACAGTGCCCTACATCAGTAGCTCCAGACAAGGTAGCATTGGAGAAAGCTCTTTATTGAATAAAACACATTGGCAGGAAGTCAAATGAACCAACAAAATCAATCATACCTGAAGGACAAAGCAGCCCTACTTCAGTGCACTTTTATGGACCTCATCAGATCGCACTGGGGTGGATGTCACTGTGCCCAGCACTCCTATGATGCTCCCTTATCCAGGTGCTGAACTGACCTGAAGCTCCTTCTTCAGGCTGAATTCCACCTTCCCATCTCAGATGTGCAACCAGTCACGAATCAAATTTTTCCCTACAACTAGTTCCAAAAGCTAGACAGCATCCTTTCAGGACTATATTTACCATTTCTACATACAGACCTTAACAGCACTGCAGAATCTATTTAACAGCCTCAACAGAAATTAATTCAAAAGCCAGATTTTAATCACCATCAGTGACAAGATACAAATCATGACTGCATTTCACTGCTTTTGAAATCAGATTTTTCAATATTTTATTTCACTAGTCACTGTCGGCGAAGGTCATTTTGAGACACTCTTTCAAAATCCAGAACATGTTGCAAGAATGTTTAGTCTGTCTTGTCTGCCAGAATTCCCTGAGGCTTTTTATTCAAACATTTCCCTGTTTTTCTAGTTCGCAGGGTTTGAGGGTAGAGCTGAAAGGTTTTAAAATTAGACTTTTCAGAGATTCTCTTTTTCAACCAGTAGCTTGAATCTCAGCTTTAGAAGTCGGAATTTCTTTAATTGTTTCTTTTTTTCCTGACAAGATGTATAGCTGGCAGAAGCTTTGTATTGCAACACAGAAACTGGGACACTGTTTTCACTGAAGTGGTGGGTATTTTCTACAGCAATGAGCAAGGAAGCCTTTAAACTGCTCTGGAAACCAAATTCATCATAAAAGAATAGGCTTTATCTGAGAAAACAAAAGGAAAACAAAGCATTTTTTTCCATTGATAATATCTTCACAACAGGACACAAGAAGTTGCTTTTGAAATCCCAAATAATTGGTTTCTTTTGTTTTCCGGTTTGTTTTGCTGTTTTATTTTGTTTTGCTTTAGATTAGAACCAGTCTGATGTTCTTCTGGGACTTGAATCCAGCTTCTTGAAGAGTTCAGGTCTTTAAGTTGTATTTCTGTAGGCTGCGCAATGCCTACTGCAACTCTGAAGCTAACTGTAAGGGTGGTTCAGCCCGGTTGCATCATCAGAGTTCAGATAAAACCATCAAAATACAGCCAATTTCCATCAAGTACATGACCTTCACTCTCATTCACATATTTTCTGGGCCCCATTTAACCAAAAAAGACCAAAAAATAACTTACGTGGTGAGAAGACTCCTCAACTATATGCTTACATCCACTAATGAGTGTGGTAGTTGCTGTAAAAGGACAGACAGCATTCTCTAACTATTGGACAGATGCAATCTGCTATGTGAAGGAATTCACTGCCTAGTGTTTCCAAAGGAATACCACTGGCATCCACTTTCCAGAGCTTATGACCAAAATGATAGGATGAATCACTATTGTAAATACGATGAACAAGCTATACTTGTTTCTCTTTTCCTTTCATTCTTAGTCCAGTCCTGTCCAGTGCTTTGGGATCTATTTTCAGTAGATGGGACCTTCCTGTACTCACTCTGCCCTTCAATACTGCGGTGACTTTGTACTTGGCAGCCACAGGACACTACAACCTTTTTTTTCCTACAACCCTCATCAAGCCTGTAGCATCGGTGCCCAATATCACTTGGTCTGCAATCAATGTGCCTCTGGTAAGCTTCACCCCAACATGTTTATGTTGTTTCATTGAAAATGTGAGCATGAAGACATTTATCTCTGGGTAGCAATTTCTCATATGCCCATTCTGAGCAGCATCCATTTGCAGAAATAAATGGCTTAGTTCATTTCATACAAGAGAGTGTCACATAGGCTCCAGGGGCAGTCCTGGCTAATCCAGCAGAGAAACTGATCAGATCTCAGAAATCCTGAACCTCTCACTCCATCCAAAGTTAGATTGCCCATAAACATGCCACAGCTGCTGTTATCACACGAGTATATCCAAATATGCACACTCACTGTCCAAATGTGGTCAACAGGATGTCAGCAGGACTGTCAATGAAAACATGAAAAGAGGGAAGAAACATCATGATCTCACAGGGGCAGAAATTAATTTACACTCATTCTCCTCTGGTCAGCTTTAGCACTGGAAATTGTCTTGTTACATCCACACACTCAAAGAAATGTTAAGGGGAATAGATATGCTTCATCTTATATAAAAAACTCAAATCAGCCCCAATACGGGATTACTGCTTAGGAGAGTAACAGTTTTTCTCCTTCACTAAAGTCATTTACAACAAAACCACAACAAACACAAGCTGATCATATTACCCCAGAACAAATAAAAGCCCATCTTGGACTGATGAAATTCAGACCAAACAAGAAGCTAACTCTGGACTGAAGGACATAAGCACCTGTGTTCACTCAATAGACCTTCTCAGAGCCAGGGTTGCCACTTTTCCTTTCTAATCAATACTTTGGACAAAATAACTGTTGTGTCCTCCACTCAGAGCTACAATAGCATGTCCCCTCTCTACTGGCCATTGCAGCTTTTGCAGTCCATCCCAGTTGGTGTTGGTCAAGTGTACGGCTGTGAAAACCCCTGGACTGGAGGCATCTTCCTTGTTGCTTTATTCATCTCTTCCCCACTTATTTGCTTACATGCTGCAATTGGATCTACAGTTGGAATGCTTGCAGGTAAGAAATATTCACCAACATCATCTCAATTAAGAAAATACATTGATCCAAGCCAATATGAGATTCTGTCCAGGATTTACAGTTGCATGGGCTAAGGGAATGCACTCCTGTTTTTGAAGGTGTCTTTGAATTTTAAAGGTCTTAATTTTAAAGGTCACTCAGCATGGTGAAGGGAAGAACAGAAGCAGGTTTTCTACAAGCTCTAAATTTGGAACTAAATTTGTAACTCTGGCAGGTAGTTTGTTCCATCTTGCTTAACCCACTGCCACTGGATGAACAGAGAGCACAGCCTCATTCCACTAACCAGAGAGACAATCCTAATTTAACAAAAATGTATGTGACCCCCGAATACAAACAACACCAGTGCCATTTATGTGAGCAAATTTAATGAAAAATATGGTAGAATTAGCATAGTCTGAGGCAACTACAAAGGCTGACAAAGGTTCAGACGTCCAACACAAAGTTCTGATTTGAGCTCTGAAGTGCTTTTTACAAGAAGTGACCCGCCCTGAGTTTGTGTTTTAAAGAAAATTATCCATAATTTATAGGGTTAAAAATATTTGACAAGTTTCACGCAGGTCTGACATTTAACTAGAAGAGAAGGGTCTGGAGAAAATATGTGGAAATATAAGCAAGGTGATGAGGGTCAGGAGACAGCTGAGGACATTACAGCAGGAAAAGTATTGCCCCTAAGAATAAGGTGTCTTGTGCAATACATAAGATGATGCTGTTTTTAGTGATAGTCCCAGTACATATGAGAAGTCCTGCAGAAGTACTTATGATGTCAGGCTTTTTGCAAAACCTCAGCTCCCATCCCATTGGAAGATTTCCACAGCAGTGATGGAGGGACCAGAACACATTTAGCATTTTGGCAAATCTTAGCATTTTAGCCATGAGGAAGAGATGGAAAATTATGCTTACTCCTACCAAAACTGTGCCTCCAATACTCAGGACATGAGAACATGTGAGATTTAAACAACACACATGACCACAGCTTTCTGAAAGGAAGAAACCCAAGTGAGAAAGCCTTCACGCACTCTGGCTGAATCTCCCATCCAGATATCCTAGGGACTCGCTCGAGCAAATATGGGGTGTAAGTAGGAAATTTTACCTGAAGAAGCATTTGACACTGAACCACTGCTGTTCTATCACAGCTCCAAAATAATGAGTTCCTTTAGAGTTCACCCTTTTTCTGCAAATGAACACTGTGTAAGTGTGAGCGCTGTAAATTTGGCTGGATATCATAGGGAAGAGACTGAATTTCCAACAGGTAAGATTTACTTCCTGCAAATACTTCCCATAGCTGACCTCAGCCCCCTGCTTTTTTGTCTTGTAGCACTGAGTATTGCAGCACCATTTGACAGCATCTACCTTGGCTTACACAATTACAATTGCGCTCTCGCATGCATTGCAATTGGAGGCATGTTCTATGCCCTGACCTGGCAGACTCATTTGCTGGCCCTTGCTTGTGGTATGTATCTTATATGATAAGGGAAGCCAAAAATTTTTGCATCTACGCAGTACATGAGCAGTACAGGACAACTCTGAATCAATTTTGGGATTCTGATTTTCCAAGAGTTACTTCTGTCATGGCATCAGATTTGAGCTTGGAGGTGCAAACCACAAAGGCAGAAGTAAAGGCTTCTAGATAACAAGTCTTCTGATAAAGAGAAACATCTAGAAACAGTGGAAGGAGTATTTGTAAGGAGACAAGCTATGCCATGAACAGAAGTTTAACAAATTATCCACTCAGGAGATTCATAGAAGCCATTCCAAAATTGTAATTATCCTCAGAGGATTTGCTTCACAGGATGAGAACTGTTGTACAAGTTCAGTTTAAAATCCATTTAGCCAAAGACACCCACCTCCAGCAAAAGCCAAAAAACAGATAATACAGGAAGTTTAAGAACAGTGTACAGTGTAGAAATTCCTAATGAAGGTTAACCCAGCCTCCAGCCATTTGTCATGTTTGATTTGAACATCCCTTCTCAGTTGCTCAGGGATCCCCACAACGCACAGGTCAAGTTGTGTAAATGGATAAGGAAATACCGCCATCACCAGCTCTTGGCAAAACCATTTTCTTTCACCATCCACCATTACAGAGCAGACAAGACCAATTGTAGACCACATGGCCAGACACAACATTGGAGCATATTAACCAACAGTTGAATTCTAACATTAATCATATAAGATGAAATGATTTACTGTGCATTTGGATATTTTTATTATTTCTGATAATTTCCTTGGAAAGCTGAGCTATTCTTTGCCAATCCTGAACTCTTTGGTCTTCTTTTGTCAGCATTGTTTTGTGCCTACTCTGGAGCAGCTCTTACTAATGCACTATCTGTGGTAAGTTTAAATATTTTCTGAGCTTTGTTTGTTTGTTTTAGCTGTGTTCTGATTTGCTCATGATACAATGCTGAGGAAATGCTCCAAAATTCTCCATCTTCTGACAGTACCAAAATGAGAGTGCTGCAGCCAGCAGCATTTCTTATAGATGGTGCATCAGCTGGACCGTGCACCTGCAAACTCCACAGTTGACAATATGACTTCAAAAACCTCTGGAGCATATAATCCAGAATGGGAATTTGCACATAGATGTGCAAGTGCTTATGGTTTGAGATGCAATATTAAGCTGCAGCCAACATTTTAAAATGAATCCCAGTGGTCTAAAATTTTCTTTGCTTTTCCTACTCTGCCCTCAAATTTTTGACTCAAGTTTGGTCTGGAAATGAGAACTATAATTATTTAAGAGTAAAAAAAAAAAAAAAAAAGGCCATTGCTGTCTTAAATACAGAATCATTGTATCTGGGCAATTCAAGAAAGAAAAGAAGCTAGAAGTGCCAGGCTTTGTTTCTTCAAGATCTGAGAGAATAAAGCAAACCCACATTTTAATAAAATTGATTTAGTAACTTACAATGATTAAAAAAAAAAAAAAAAAAAAAAAGTAGAACTAACAGCTTAAATGCATTAAATATACTCATGTGGCATTCTCTTAATACCATGTAGGCCTATGCAAAAGGCTGCTTTAAGCACACCTTTTGTTTTGGATATGGATTAGGGAAGAGGACAACTGGTTCTTCTCCCTGTAATCTTGGTTTCAGCATGCTGCAGGACAGGTGAGCAGTCTGGGTCCCAGAGCAGGAATGTTGGGCAGATGCAATGCCAGTAATTCATGGGCACTGAGGACTGAAGGTGTGTGAACAGTATTCTCAGAACAAGTTTTACAGAACCACAAGGGTAGGATTTTGGTCATTTCTTAGACAGTTGAAATGTCTACATGTGAGCTGGGTGCAAAAGAGGTTCCAAAACACACCTATCTGTCCACCTTCCTCTCCCAGCTTGGACTACCACTCTGTACCTGGCCTTTTTGCTTCTCGGCGCTTCTCTTTTTGCTGTTAACCTCAGACAACCTGGACATCTACAAAATCCCCCTCTGCAAAGTCACCTACCCGGAAGCAAACAGGATCTACTATCTGAGAATGAAGAGAAGAGCATCAGAAAGCAGAAGAGAAGAGCAGAAGCAAAAGGAGCAGAAACCTTCTGGCGACTCAAGAATAAGCACAGGTGGCACTCCCTTGTGCACCCCCAAAAACAGTCGCAATCACTGATTTCAAATGCCCAGGAGTTAGCAGTTCCTGAGCAGTTGGTTGGATGCAGCAAATATCACCTTCAGCAGCAGCCTGTAAGCCAGGGATTCAGCACTGCCCTTTCTGGATGAAATACAATTTGCCCTTGAGGCAAGCTTTCCAAAAAGCACTCAAGTAACATAATAATGGCTGTCTTATCAATCCACATGTTGTTAACTTGAAAGCCACCTCTTATCAACAATAATTATAGGAATAGGCAGAAGAACATAAACACTGACAAGGAGCTGTATTTAATTTTAGATGTGTAATTTAACAAAATAAATATGCCGAGAGGGAGCTGGTATCTAATAATAATAAATAATGTAAGAAGTACATTAAGTGCTGCACTTTAAATTAAGAACATATATATTTGAAAATAGAATGAACAGACTGATCTCTTCCTTTCCTGTGTCCCATCAGTGCCTTGCCTTCTTTCTGTGTCTTAACAGTTACAGCACACACAGGTAAATATTTTTACAGAATGCATGCTATTTTTTTGTGCCATCTCCTGATTCCCCATTAAGTGTCAAGACAATGAAAGTATGAATATACGTGCTTTAATCATACTGCAGAAATGACTAGCTAGACATGATCAAAACATTTTTCTTTTCTTTGCATCATCTTCTGTCTTAGAAATAGAAGACCTGTCTCCTGCTGACGGCAGGATTGCAGGTCTGAATCGTGGCATGCATCCAGTGGAAAACATTTTACATAAAGAATGAGATAAACATTTACTGTTGGTAGCAATTACTGCAGTTCTTTCTCTCCCTTTCCCAGGGAAACGCTTCCTTTGAATTAAGCCACAAGCAATAAGCAAGTCAAATACTGCCCTTGTCTGCTGGGGCTGGACTGGACTGGGGTCTTCTCCATGTTTTCAGCAGCTGTCCAAGAGAAATCTTGTGAAACACCATCGTCATCGTCATGGGAAATAGAGGGTGGCTTTGCTGCTGTGTCACCCAGTGTGGTGGTTTCTAACAGGCATAAGGTACAAGCGAAACACTGCTATTTTAAGCTTCCTCCAAGTCCTTTTAACAGGGAAGGTCCAATTGCCCACAAGAGAGCTGTCTTTGGGAACCTTTCCAAAAGCCACTACAAAGCAAGCCTAGGAGAAAGGCTTCCACATTCTAAAGTCATTTCCTGTGATCAGTTCAAAAACTGTAGGCACAAAGGATCTCGAAGATTTAAGGTCAAAGTTCAAAGAAATATCAGTCACTGTTTAGATTAGATGCTGTCCTTTTTGCATCTTGATGTGGGGTTGTTTTGCACGTTCATTTGAGTCTGTCTGAGCAAAGGGATGGAAGCAAGCTGTAGTGCTGTTTTTGAACTTTTCTTAAAAAAGATGTTCCTCAGTCCTACCCAAGAGAATTTCTGTCTTTATAAACACCAGATTTGCAGCACCAGAAGCTGAAGTCACTGTAAACAATCCTTAGGAGAACCATCCAGGATTGAATGGGAGACAATGGTGCAATTAGAAAATCTGAACATACTTAGAAAGGGAATTTAGTTTTTTCTTATTATTCTATTTGGATTACAACAGATATGACATTCTACCTGGGAGGAAAGCCCCAGACATGCAGATAAGACCAAATTTTAGTAGACAAGATAATCCTGACATTGACTATGCAGAGTTCCAGTGAATTTTTCAGTCTGTTCCACCCTTCAGACTTGAATACCTAGGTTACATCTCTATCCCATTTTCGACCTCGGGATAACCTCTGACTCTGGCCATAGAGGTCCTCTGGGAAAGCACTAAGGGAATGAGTGGGAATTCCTGCATACCACAAGTTTTCTTAGAGATTAATAAAAGAGCAAGAATCTGAACAGCCTATTCAGTACATTCAGTCATGAGACTTTTGTCTTGTTTAGATGTGTGGGACTGACCTTAGCTTGATATCTTGCCTACCTCTGCAAGCAAAAGGAAGATCTGACCAATATTCAACTGCAATAGGCAGAAAACTAAATGCTTTACAGCAACCAAAGGCTCCCATGGAAATCCCAGGAACCTCCTGAAAATGCTCAGCTCAGACAAGAGGAAGGCATAGGTTACTTCTCTTCATCACGTAAGTGAAGGGGAACCATTGATTTAGGAGAAAGTTTGTTTGCAGAAACATTATCCAGGCATTGAACACAAGAAATAAAGCCTTCAAAATACCATAGAGGGCTCCTGCAGATGGTTCTACAATCTCAGACATGATTAAAGGACTTTTGTAGGCTGCACATGCAGCTACTTATTCGTGTATGGTAACTGAGGGGAAAAAAAAGCAATAGGGAACAAAGAAACCACGAGAAAAGTATCAGTAGACAGTGAAGAAAGCAGAGAACCACAGGAGAACAGGTTAGCAATCCATCCTTTATGCCACACAAAGAAAGAATGCCAGTGCCATTAAAACAGAAAAGAAAAAATAAAAACAGTCTTGTATGGACACAAGGTTCCAAATTCTGTAGAAAAACAAAGTCAGACGGTCTCTTCATCTGCTCTACAGTTTAATTTACCTCGTAGACAATCTAGCTTCAGAGGAAGAGTTGAAATGAAGCAGCAGTTAGAAAAATTCTGTAATAAATTCAGCTGAAATAATGTTTCAGAAAACTCAACTGTGGTTAATTATGTCAGGCATATTATTTATTTTCTTTTTTTAAAAAAAGAGTTGAGTCCAAGTACAATATGGCTACTGGAAAGAATTTGTCATGAAAGAGCCATTACAAACATTAACTTCTCAGCCACAAGCAAATCCATCCTGAAATCAATTAGCAAAGCTATTTCTAAGGTTGAAGACATCCATAAGGAATAGAGAATAAACAGAGTGGTTCTGTCCCCGGCTAACCAAAAGATTTGAGTAACTATATCCAGTACTAACAACTCTTGAAAACAGGCAAGATAAATATCAAATGTCTTCTAGATGGGAGCAGTAGACAATCAAATCACTGACTGAAGCTATCAGCAGCCACAACTCCAAATTTCAGTTGTTCCCAAAAGTGCCAGCGATCTAATATGAATTAAATGCGCCTATAAAAAAAGAATAGCCAAAAAAACTAAACCTCTTCTATAGTTAGAGCAGTCATTCCAACCGGTTTACCTCTGCAGTAAATGAAATAAATATTCTTGTGCAAATAAACACTCAGCCTAGCAGTAGTATATACAGAACAACTTCCTGAATGTCTGCCTTTGGAAACAAAAGAGTGCAAATGGGAACAGGCAATGCAACATGAATGAATTATAAGATGCCTCCCCCATGAGCAGAGAAGCCATCTATTTTGTTATAACTGGTAAGTACCACTACATATTCCACATGACTCCAAGAAAAAATGCTTTCATTGTTTCTTCAAAGGTCATCTATTTGCCTCTAAACCCTCAGTTAAAAGAAGAAATATATCTTTATTCTTTGAGATGGCTCTTCCAGCTCTCCTCACATAGGCACAAGCACACGAGGTCCGTGCTTCAGATGTCCTCATCTGGGTGTTGATGACTGCAGAATGATCTAGGGAAACATGAAGGGGTGGAATTTGCCTTCCCAATGGACATTAGCTACAGCATAGGCCAGAGCCATACTGAGCATCTCATTGCCCACTAGGTCTTTTCACCTGGCAGCCCTTTTCCAAGGTGATTTATTAAACGTGGGACATGATGCAAGACCCAGGAAATCAGGCATCCAGTAGACCTGCAATCACAGGTGAAGCACACAAGCCGAATCCCTCTAGCCCTCCTCCAAGAAACTTAGGTTGCCAAATTGAAGCAAACCAAAGCCACCCATTTTTGGCCTTGTACTTATTTTCTTTTTTAACTTGAAGCAAGATTCAAGTTAAACGTGAGCACCTAAAACAGGGTGGCTGTGTTTTGTGTTTTTTTTATGCCATTTGTTGTTTGCAGGGGCTTAGATTGGAAATATTCCTTTCCTTTCTACTTTCATCAATAAGTTCAGCTGAAGCTAGGTCTCAGAGGTTTGTTAGGATTGAATTTGTTAACTAGCCTCAGGAAGAATTTGACAAGTCAGGGGCACTGGTGGTTTGCAAAGAGCTGACAGGAAGAAGAGATTTTTAGCCAAAGGCTATCAGAGACCTCTGTGAGACCCCTCTGTGGAAGGAAATTCTCTTGGAGCAGAGGTTTTGACAGCAGTCAATAGTGGAAACCGTGACGTGAGCGACCTGAAACCACTGAAGGCCTTTCTGGGACATGAGATGGAAACTCTACTAACAGAAATCATTACCTGTGGATACCTTTGAGATCAGTCGGGGCTTGGTCTGGAGCCACACACTTCTCTAGACACTTAGGCACAGAGCATGCTCAAATCCACCCAGCCAATGCATAAAGAAAAATGTATTTTATAAATGACTACCTCTCGCATCTTGTTGAATCTTAGCCCAAAGTTAGAACCAGGTATTTCAGACTAAGTCTGGCCAGTCATGGAGCAATATCCACTCACTGCACTGCACAGCACTATTATCTCCATGTTTGCTGATAGATGGAGTGAGCGCTCACTGCTGGCACGGCAGGGCTTTATAACTCAAAAACAGTTCTGCAATATTTTAACAGTGTTTCATTGACCTGTGTTTGCTTTGGGCCTGCGGTGCACAGTGTGGCCATGGGTTTGAGTTCAGCCACAGAAATACTTAGGTCTGCAGATCTTGGATAGTGAATCCAGTCTGTAGAGGCACCCGATGGTTATTATCTGCAGGAGTGGCTGGATCTACCTTGCTCATCCAGGGAAAGAGAGTTACGGTTCCTGGTCTTCTATCTGTCTCATCTGCCTGTCTGCTCAGGGTTTGTTGTCCATGGGACATTTTCAGCCAGAAACAGCCATTGCTTTTTCCCCCAGATATTGTACAGACACGTTTCCATGAACCAGCAACACTCTGCTCTCTCTCTGAGACTCATACCCAATTGAACCCTTGTCAGAACATCACCACATACATGAAGGACATGAAGCAATTAGAGAGCATTTAGAGTGGGCTTACAAAGATGGCAAAGGATCTATGGGAGAGATGTG